TAGAGAGCGTTACAGTAGTCCAAGCGGGAGGTGACAAGAGCATGAGTAACTGTGCGCAAGGCATCCCGGTCCAGAAAAGGCCGCAGCTGGCGTACCAGGCGTACCCGGTAAAACGCCCCCCTGGCCACAGCCGCCAACTGGTCTTCCAGTGTCAGCCGTGGATCCAGGAGGACGCCCAGATTGCGCACCCTCTCTGAGGAAGCCAAAGTTTCGCCCCCTATAGTCAGCGATGGAGTCAGGAAAACAATGAGTGCAAATGGAAAACAAATATATCTTTATTGTAGATGTATTACGTGTCCATTTCACAGTAGAATACTCAGCTACTTGACCAACAATGATTAAGCTGAAACAGTGGAACAAAGACAGGTCTTGAGGAACTTCAGCATTTTCACTCTTCCCAAACATCTCCATACTTATTAATCTTAGCTAAAAAAAGAAGAAGAAAAAGAAAAGAGTCACGTACAGAAGATCTAATCCTGCAGCCCATTTTACCAACAAAAGTTAAGAAACTTGGTGGGCTGCTTGAGTAAGTACTGGTCAGATTTTATAACTGTTTACGAAAGTAGTTGCTTGGGAAACATGATTCAAGACAATATTGTTTTCTAATTATAATAACTTGATTTAAATCAAAGTGCCTTGAAAGCTAGCGATTCAGTCCTCGTTCTTTTTGTTCTTTTTGATTTGAGATCGCTAGACGAAATAGTGCAAGGTAATATACCTGCTTTATTGGCTGCTCAGATTTTTTATATATATTAAAAAAAATGCTAAAATTCTACAACTCACTTTAAAGCAATGATTCCAACAAAAGGGAATGATCGGTGTAAAAATAAATTCAAAAAAATATTGTTTCCAGTTCATGGCTGTGTATTCCAAACACAACTAAAATACACAATATAAAATCTTGGCTCCTTTTGGCTGTAATGTACCATTACCAATTATATTCCCTACTAGCTGTACCCAGCCACGCGTTGCTGTGGCTCAGTCTGGTAAAAGCGTGTGTTGCTTTTACGTCCAACAGATGGCGCTGTTTTTCAAAAAAAGCATGTTTTTACCTGTCACAGGTGTGACATCTATATAATATAGGTATATAAAAACACGTGCGTATTCGAATGCAACGTTGTATCAAAATTTCAAAGCAATCGGTGAAGAACTTTCGGAGATTTAAGATTTTGAACAAACGGACATTTACATTTTTATTTATATAGATTGAATATTTACCTCTCTCCTTTATTGGTAACGAGCTCGTTCGAATTTCAGGTTTCTGCACCATTCCAGCGTCTTGTCCTTCTCTGTTTCTGTTTCGGAGTTCTTCATATGTGAT